TCTTTTACCAACGACCGTCACATTATAACGCCCCCACGGCTGAAAGGGCGAGCATGTTTGGTGGGACGGGGATTCGAACCCACGACCCTCAGATTGCGAGTCGAGCGCCTTATCCACCTGGCCATGCCGGGCCAAGGATGGTGTTACCACCTATAAGATGAAAATGGAACATTTCCAATTTTCTTTCGAATAAACATGTGAATAGCTTCTGCTCTTTTCCCAAATTTCTTTAGTGCATCTCTTTTGAGCTTTTTCTTTTAGCTATTATTTATTTTGTTACAATTGTCACAAACATAGAAAGTTAGTTTGCCACTCATTCTGGCATTTTATTTAGCCTGCCTTCACTCCTCTTTTAAGCCCCCCAGTGGCACAGCGATATGTCTGCGGACTTACAACGCTAGAAACCGGGTTTCGATACCCGTGGTGGGCAGAACACTAATAGCTTATTGTGTAGCTTTGTGCTTAATTACAAACAAATCCTCTTTTAAGGCACTAACCACCTGCTGCCATCTAGGTGACAGTTTGCTAACCACAAACTATTTACATAAGCTTAGTTTTTTTGTTTTTTTTTCCCATACCCACCACAGTAATTGATATAACCTTATTTCTGGTTAAAAGAGTAATAATTGTGGCAACTGAAACTTAGTCCAAATGTTAAGATGTTCTCTTTAGGTTTTTTTTAGTCATTACTTGATGTTGTTCCAGTTATCACAAACTTCGGAAGTTAGTATTGCCACTCTTTATGAGTTGATCATTCTGACATTTTCCATAGCCAGCTCTGCCTTCCTTTCCCCACTTCCACTATTTCTTACGCTCTTCCCCTAGTCTTATTTCATGTGCCTTTGCTGGGTTTTGATCAGATTGTTCTTTACGTCATTGGTAGTTACCGTGGACTCTTGAAAGTTAGGGTTGTTGAAGTAAATCCTCTGAGGATCAGCCCTGGAGATTTCGTAACTCATTAATGTCTTTGTTGCTTCTTCATCATTCTTGTTTTTATTTCCTTTTTCTTTGCGGCATATTCGTTAGCTCTAAATAACCACACGTTTTAGGTAACTGGCAGCCACCATGGGTTTCAAAGGTCAAAGTTTCAAACATTTTGGGTTGAATAGCCTAGGAGCCCTGGTATTCGGTTTCACATCCTGGTACCTCAATGATCTCCATGTATTTTTCGGGGTCTTTGTTCTGAATTCTCTGAGAAGTCGATAAGCTAACCTTTCTGTTTACCAGGTTGGTAAACACATTTAACAAGCAACGAGTAAACGTCTGTGATGAATTTCGTAGCCATAAGATGAATGTGACTTTTCACTGTCTTATTTCGGAGATTAGAATTGCGGCCCCTGTAATGTACCTAATAAACTAATACATTAACCCTCATAACCAGTTTATCTAAACGTTTCTCAGTCCGAATGGTAATGCACAGGTCTTACCTGCTGGCCCTTTCCGAGTAAAGATGGCGTTGATCATTTATGCACCCATCTGATCGTGATTTGACTATTAAGCAGTGACGGACCTAGAGAGGGGCCCAGGAGGTTTGCCCCCCCCCCCCTTTTTGGTGACAATAAAAAAATGTGTATGCAAATGTTCATTTTATGTACTTCCAGACTCATCATGCTCATCTTTGATTTGCATTTATTTGGTAATGTACTTCCTTTAGCCGTATGCAAACGTATGCTGAATAGGGAGGAGGGAAGCCTAGTGAAGCCAATATAACCCCCTATAAGCGCTCGCTCGCGGGTCCCTTCGCGTCCTGTTGTTGCCCCCCCCCTTTTCGATCAACTCTGGATCCGCCACTGTTAAAATTTATTTTCTTACTTTTTGAAAAGTTAATTCCCCTGTTTTAACTTTCTTAGTTACTGATGCTATCTATGCTTTCTTATCATGACTTACTCATTCTTTCCGTTTATTTTTCTAGTCAACTCTCCGGCGATTTTTCTGGAATATAGGCTTTGATATTATCTCTATAGATGAACGCTGTTGAGCTGGTTTGTATCTCCACATTGGTGGGTCTTGTGGTACTGTAAATATTGCCTTGGTATGCTCGTAATATATAGGTAAGTATAAAGTATGTTCGATATGTTGTTGTTTGTAAGTTATCTTGAGACGAAAGCTACACAATAGGCTATCTGTGCTCTGTCCACTTCAAGGAATTGAACTCCGGGTTTTAGCGTTGTAAGTCCGTAAACTTACCGTTGACTTACCGGGAGACTGTTAGAAATATTCCTTTTTTTTTTCCTGAAAGTCGATAATCGGAAGTAACTCGATCAAGCCTCTGTCTATGATACTCTAGGGTAAATACGCTATTCTCAATCCTAAACAATACAAAGTTTGATTCTCAGTAGTTGAAAATGCTCATTCGCCTTTTACCTAAAAAGATGTCTGTACGGTTACCTCTAACATGGCTTTGCAGTTATCTAAGCTGGAACTATAGCGTGCACAAATACGACGTCGTCGTTAACTGTCTCAGCTAAGAATGAGGGCGCGTTTTTAACGCTCACGGATGTTCCAGCAAAGTTAGCACATGCATTTTGCTGTAGCTATTGCTTTAATACAAGTGTAGCTTATAAATCACACTTCATTTAATGTTATATGTGTATATGGAAATACCGATCCTTTTTTCATTCAACAAAACACAGAAACGCCTCCATCTTACTAGAACAATTCAAAATCAACAAATATACAATTTTCGCAATGTTCAAAGGTATACAGAGATGCAAATTAATTGCCCCCCCCCCTGAATACACACTTGACGTTTGCTCTTGAAATGACTACCCCCTTAATACTCACAACAAAGGTAAAAGTGTAGGCGCTCTACATATCACCAGTCTTCTGTAGTAAGTCGTACTGGATTTGGAAGATATAGTACGATTGACATGCTTTACATATTTTAATTCAGGAGTTCTTAGACTTTCTAATGTGATATTCTTCCATTGACCCACTCCGGAAACAAGAAGACTAGCTTGCTACTGTAGTTCGCCAGTTCTCGTGAATGATATTAAAATTAAATCGATGTAATAATAATAATAAATAAATAAACAGTGTTCAAATTGAATAAATAATGTTGTGTTAATAATTATTACCTATTGTATTTGTAAGTGACATAAATTAAACTGATAATAATTATAATTCACTTCCATAACCCGATTCACACCCTAAGAGTTGTTGTACATGAAAATTGATTTTATGTATGTTGTGTGTGTTTATAGCGTCTGAGCCACTTCTGTGTCTGTCGTATCCCACCCTGTCTGACGAGTTCTAGTATTGACGAAAAGCCTCGTCGGTTCTAGATGTTGCAAATGTAATAAGGTTGACATATAATAACATATTCTCTTCTGCTTTCACTCATGGGTTCTTAGAATTTGTAATATCTCAGAGACAGGAGTAGCTATCCAACAGCAAGATATTTTCACAGGACTGAAGAAAATGCGTGAAACTTAAACAAGATACAGCAGGTGAACTAAAAGTTGCAGCTGGTGTGGCCATTTACGATATCAATACAACACAATAACTTTAAAAAGCTGTTATTCATGATCTTAGCTTCGTATTTTATTTCTCAACATTTTCCATCTTGAATATTATTTATAAAATTTTTCGCGAAGCTACTTGAAGGCTATCTATGCTAGACGTCACTAACCTCGAGTTGATAGACAAGAGGGAAAGTAGCTAATTAACATCACTCACCACCAACTCGTGGGCTACTCTAATCGAATCGTAGTATTTGACTGTCACTCTTATAACACAACTGTGGGAACTATTATTCGCTGATTACCCTGTCCTAACAGCTGAAAGTGAGAAGAGGTTACAAACGCAAGTTAAAATGTGGTAGAAGAGTTTAGAAACAAGAGGCTTGAAAATGAATGCCAAACAACAAACAATCCGGAAGCCATGGTTAGTGCAAGGGATAGGAATAAGAAAGTTATGATCATAAATGTAAACGAGAAGCTTCTGGAACTGGCAGAAGACTTTAGATACTTTGTAAATACAATCTAAAGTGAAAGAAAAAGTGAGAAAGCTCTGAGGGATAGAATACAGGCGTTTTGGAGGAAATGGAAGGAAGTAGCCACGGTCATCTGTCACAAAAGATTATCAAGGGCACTGAAAGTCAAAGTGTATAAGACCACGATTAAACTGGTGTTCCTCTGTGGAGTCGAGACCTGGACCCTGAAAAAGAAAGAGGAAGGCTTAATGATAAAAACAGAAATGACAATGCTGAAATGGTTATTGGGAGTGTCGCTGAAAGAGAAGAGAACGGATAAGGGAATTAATGAAATTGAAGGAATCTGTGGAATAGAGGAAAAGGGAAGAGAAGCGAGGCTGAAGTGTCTTGGTCACGTGAAGAGAAGAGAAAAGGGACAAGTAATAAGGAGGGCATTAGAGTTGTCAATAGCCAGCAAGAGAAGACAGGGAAGGCCGTTAAAGTGTTGGAAGGATGAAGACATGTTGGAAGACATGAACGAGAAAGGAATTGCAGAAGACCTAACAATGAATTTAGATGATTCTAGGAGGGCAACAAGGGCGAAAGATAGCGACCTCTGCTAAATGGAAAAGCGAAAGAAGAAGAATACTCTTATAACACAAGTGCGGCCCCAAAATGCGGAGGGCATTTTTGCAGCAACGGGGAGCGAAAAATACATCCTCAGATTCACAGACCAGACATGCTAACCACTGGGTCACACCCGGCCCTACATTAATGTGCTAATTTAGATTAGTTCAGTTTACTTAAAGGTAAAAACCACGAGGTGACGCTTTCAAAGTTTATTAGCTGCTTCTCTGCTTTACCGCATTCTGGAAATAAAGTGACTTTCTTATATGTTGTTACATATCTTAAGCACTTGCTCCTTACGATTCTATCGTCCATCAAACAAAAAGTGTCATTACAATATCCAATTTGAATAATTTGGAAGGTTATTTAGATGTACTATATTTACTGTAAAACCTTTGTGTGTGTGTGTTCAGTATATGCCTGCGTATGCTAACATGAATATTTACAACACTGAGCAGCTGCTGGCGCTTACGTTCGATTTATTTTAGCTAATGAAAAACAAACAAACTAACAAAGAAAAACTGGTTTGTGATAGATTTTTGTTCATTTGTTGTTAAGCGCAAAGCTACACAATGAGCTATTTGCAATGTGCCCACCATGGATATCGAAGCCTTATTTTCAGCATTATAAGCCACCGAGACTTGCCACTTAGCCATTAGGGATTCTTTGTGTTACAACATTCTTTTTTTTTGTTGTTTTTCATTATCATACTGTCCAAGAAACCTTTAACTTGAACTACAACAAAAATGCGTTCGAATTTATAAGTCTGGTTCACAAATTGTTACCTTTTCACAGATTTGTTTATTATTATTATATTAATTTGAAGAATTAGCATGTTTAGTTAAAATAAGTTCAGTTTATTGTTTTGCTAGCTGAAACCTGCAAAACATTTACCGTCAAAATAGCATTTTTAGAATAATACAAAATAATTCTAATCACAGACACCGAAATATTAAATTCACTTGTCTTAAGCCTAATATTCGTTAAGCTATTATTACCAATATTCGATAAAAAGATAAATTAATACTGTGTATTGTGTACGTTTCTTGCATTAGTTTAGTTAGAACTAAACTTTACCATACATCATACTATCAATAAAAAACTTATAATGTTATGCTACTACCTAATTTTTGACCTTTTTAAAAAATTTGGTAAACTTTTAATACCTTGTCGTACAAAATATCTACAAAAGTATATATACATCCGCCTTTTGTCTGCATCCGTTTAAATGAAATGCGCGATCATATGTATTTAGTTAGTTAGTAATGTAACTGACAATTCAGGTGTGGAGAAAACAATTCTGGATTAACCAGTCAACTCAGAAAAGTGTGCAAAAAGCATGGCAGTGTTAGGAGGATTTGGGGGGCAGGAAAAATTTTGAAAACTAGGTGCTCCGAGATTGAATTTTGTGCAAATTTTACTAAAATTTATTGAAAGTATTAATTATTTGCAAACACTAATACAACAATAGGTACTCACCATAGCTATAAGCAAGCACGAGCATGTACACATGCGTATTATACATGCCATTTATTATGCATTGTTATACTGATTCATACATATTAATATAAGTCTTATCTATTTACCTAGAAACAATTTTTGCAGTTTTAAAAGACCTACAGTTACTGTCACAAAATGTTGGTCCGGCTTCTGCGCGGTCTGTCGGACCTGCTCCGGCGCACACGCGATTAGCTTTTTTAGATAACTTTTAATAATTGGATTTGTTTCAACCTTTTATCTTTTTTTTCATCGACCGTTTTTATTAATCAGGTAACACATCTTCATGAGTAGTGTCTACAATTTTTTTTTTATTTATTTGTTTGTTGTTAAGCGCAAAGCTACACAATGAGCTTCCTGTATTCTGCCTACCGCGGGTATTGGAACCATAATTTTAGCATTATAAGCCCCCTGACTTACTGCTGGGCCAACGGGGGAACACACAAAATGATTAATCATGAAAGTATAGAACTAAAAAGGTCTATACTTTCACAAAATTTAAAGACTTCCTGATTTACTTTAGAGGGATCGCAGATTACTATTTTTTTTCTGTCGATCAGTCTAACATTACACAACCACTGAGTCCGAAAATTATATTATACTAGCGATATATTTCATGTTGAAAAGATTTCCAAAGTTAATGGGCGAGGAGGTTAATGTGAGAAACTGGAAGATTTTAACCAAACAAGCTTTGAAGTATATTTTGATATAATTCACAGAACTGGCAATCACGCTACATTATATATATATCACTTAGAGTTATGTTTAACTGGTAGGTGAACGTTTGTTATCACTTAGATGTACGTTTAATTGGTGGATGGACGTATGTCCCATGTTTGGATTATATACAGGTCACGCAATAAAAGGGCCTAGCATGGTTAGGGCACTTGAGTTGTAATCTGTGGGTCTCGGGTTCGAATACCGTCAGCGAACATACTCGCTCGTTTGGCCGTTGGTACGTTAAAATGTGACGGTTAATCCTACTATAAATTCTTTGGTAAAGAGTAGCCCAAGAGTTAGCGGTGGGTGGTGTTGACTAGCTGCCTTCCTTCTAGTCTGGGCCTGGCATGGCCAGGTGGTTAGGGAGCTCGACTCACAATCTGAGGGTCGTGGGTTCAAATCCCCGTCTCACCAAACATGCTCGCCCCTTTCATCCGTGGAGGCCTTATAACGTGACGGTCAATCCCACTATTCGTTTGTAAAAGAGTAGCCCAAGAGTTGGCGATGGGTGGTGATGACTAGCTGCCTTCCTTCTAGTCTTTCACTGCTAAAATAGGGACTGTTAGCGCAGATAGTTCTCGTGTAGCTTTTCGCGAAATTCATAACAAACAAACAAACAAACTTTCTAGTCTATCACTTCAAACTTAGAGACTTCTCGCGCAGATAGCCTTCGTGTAGCTTTGCGCGAAATTTAACAAACAACGTTAGGTAATAAAAATATAAAAATGGTTAAATTACTCGGTCACATTATATGCATTTATTAAACATTATCAAACAGGGTAAAGGTTTTTTTTAGTATGTTATCTTTTATTAGAAACAAAGCGCTATATATCTACTTGTTTATTTTCGATAAATTATTTTGTAAGACAAATCGAGGCCTGTGAATATGTAAGATCTGGAAGTGATTCATTACATGGTTTCGTCGTTAGTTCTCAGTAGAACAATCCATTCCATTCTTTCAATGACGATATTTTTAATTAGTTTTAATACGTTTTCATTTTTTAATGTTTTTGCTTAGCTTGTTTTATCAAACCGCAATTTGCCTTTGCAGTGTAAATGGTTGACAAAATCACTTTCCATATTCAATTTATAGTAAACATCGCTATTAAACAGTAGAAGTTGTAATTGTGGCATGTGATATGAATTAAATCCCTTCCTGCCCTTTTCTTCGAAATCAATGCACGTGACCAAATTAAATCTCTCGTTTAGTGTATCGGAACGTGAAATCAAATGGTTTAAGTTTGGATTAACTGTCTTGCCATTATTGATAGACGGCTAACAAATGAAAAGTTTATACAGCATTGTGGCCACTGTTGTAAATTTTGATGCTAGTGACCTCTGATAAAACATCAAATATAAATGCAAGAGTAGTATTCAAGAAATTACATCGGTCTCTCAATACCATGCTCGTTTTCAGCACGAAGTAGGCGCGTCATTACCTCACCCAATCACATTCTGTGGACGTCAAACTTCCGACTAGGCCTGGAACTGTGGAAGGAAGCGTTAGTGCCACCCAGGAAGTTTGTAATCGCGCGTCCCTCTCCAGAGGCAAGCGTATCATGTTGGGTAAATGATGATGTTGCCAACCACCACATTCGGATTATTTTGAAAATGGAGAAGACTGTGTGAAAACTAGGCTTACTTACAGGATTTCAGTGTGAGAACAAGAAATGAAGTTTTTATTGTGAAAGGTCCATTGAAATCAAACCTCAAAATATGTCATATCGTGGAGTGTGGTCCTCCATCGTACGTCGGAGGAAATATGACGTTCGTAAGTTGCATAATTTTATGCACCGTGTTATGCTAGACGTATCTAGAGAGATAGAGTGACATAAATATTGATAAGTTGATGTATAGATGATAATCTGTAGATATAAAAACGAAATGTGTGTTTTATACAACAAACGGACTAGATATGCATAATGTCATAAATCAATATATATATATAAACTAAATGCTGTAATGATTAGAATGTATTGAAACGTCAGTTAGGGATACTCTCTGCTAAAGGTGCTTTCAGCCACAACATCGATAATATAATACAAACAATTAAGAAAAAAATGTGTTGGTAAGGTGCGCATATATGTATGCCTCCGTCCTCCAGTGGCTCAGCGCAAGTCTGCGTATTTACCACGCTAAAAATCTGGTTTCGATACCCGTGGTAGACAGAGCCCATTGTATAGCTTTGCACTTAAAAGCCAAACAGCGCAGATGTGTATATGTTTATAAGATAAATAATGAACAAGTTGTTTAATAAATAATAATAAATTACAAATTAAGCGAAGCATTTCAGGATGCTACTAGGAACTTAGGATCGTTCATTTAATTGCAGTATTGTTATAAAACGCTTGATTAAAAATAAAAACAATAATACAGAAGATTAACACGTTTATTATGTTCAACTTATGTAAGCGAAGGTCATGCGTGGTGCACGTGAAAATAGGTACAATTTGTAATGGTATCAATTTTCATAATAAGGAGTTCTTTTTTTTCCTAAACTTATTTTTTTTTCAGCTTACTTTTTTATTACAATATTTAAATTTTCGCAAAATAATTGAAGCTATAATTGTTATAGTTGTTACGATATTGAGGATCTCATGATCTAATATTTTTCCCACTCCTCATTTTTCTACGGTTATGCACGATAAAAAATAGTACCTTCACTCTGGCCATAACAGCTTGGTAATAAAAGTGTTTGTACACTAACTGGATAAAGTGGCAAGGGAAGGGTCACATGCCTCTTCTCTCTTATGTGTTAGGCGCCTGTGACTCTGGCAGGTTTAAACTAATCCAATCTCAAGTTATGGACTTATTTATATATTCCATTCATTACCACAAATTGGGTCCCCATATTACATCGCATTGAATAATTTTGTGTTTCTAACCTGTCACAACACTCACTGTAAAGTACTTAGGGCAACAATTAGTGGAATTAATTGCAATGTTGACTGTATTTTGTTTGAATTTTTGTGTGTGCATGACTCGTATAAAAGCATAGGCCCACAATCAGTTTGATTTATAAATATCTTAGAAAAAAAGAGTTTAAAAATCCCACGATACGGACTCCATTGATAATTCTAAGATTAAACAGTGTGTTCTTTTCTTTCTCGCCGTCGACTTTTATTATTGGTATAGGTTGTAGCCCTACTTGGGGATAGAGAGAATGGATGAATGAAACATGATGACTTTTTATTTTCTTACTATGCACGTGATTTCACGTAAGCGTAGGAACTGCACAGCGCACTGTTAAAAATGTAATACGTGGTGCAGAAGCACAGATCGAAACAGATTATTGCACTTACTTTAGCTGTATGCATTTTAAACTCGGTTTCGGTACTTTCGCATCGCCTTGAAAGTTCTTACTGAAGTTATCACGTGAGGAATTGTATACTATCATAATAAGAAACAGTTATTTATATTACTACACACACAAGAAGAGAGACCTTTGTGAACTTTTGAAGTTTTTTTGTTGTTGTTGTCTATGAATTCGGTGATTTTTTTATGCCTTCTCTGTTACGGTTTTGGGAGTTATTATTTTTTTCCCCACATTTAATCGTGTTTTAGAATATTTGTTTCAAAATATCCAATATCGTGGCTTGATTACACAAGCAGCGGGTACAGTTGAGGGAAAAAAAATTATGTAAACGCAGGGTTGACCTTCAGTGTGACCTTGCCCTTTGACCTCCGTTCACATAAATGTCATCTTCATCTCGTTGTGAAGTGATATGGAGTTTAAGCACGCTACTCGTGTAGTGGCTACCATAAGCAACCACATTTTTACCACTACGACACTGAACGCAGGTGAACAGTTCAACCGGGGATTTATTAGACTTACAACATAATACATGTATTGTATACTGTCGGCTCTTTTGCCTCACGTGGGTTACAACATTGTTATATAACAATAAATTAATGCCTGTATAAAAATGACGGATTATGTATGCATTTATGTTTTTCGTTACTACGCACAGGTAAATTAGAATAAATTGTGATATGAGGTTTTAGCACGTGTTATACCACTCGTTTTTGTTTTGTTTGTAGTTAAGTACAAAGTTGCACAATGGGCCACCTATGCTCTGCTCACCATGGGTATCGAAACTCGGTTTCTAGCGTTGTAAGTCCGTAGACTGGGCCACTGGGGGGTATATCACTCGGATACAGCTGTCTTGAAGACGTTTCGCAACGAAGTTACAAATTAGGTCGCTAATGAAAGAAGTTTTTGCAACAAGTTATAAGCTTTCACATTTTACCTAAATCAACGTATCAATCAAAGCTACACAATGGGCTCTCTCCATCAGTGAGAATCAAAACCCGGATTTTAGCGTTTAAAGTTCACAAACTTACCGCTGACCCAAAACATATAGACACATTAAAAACAATTTAATATGAATAAAACTGAAAGGTAACGTCAGGTATAAATTGTGGTCTCGAAAAAAAATTAATTGACACAGAATGATAGGCTTAATAAACTTCCATATATTAATCAAAAAAATTTTTTTTCTTAAAGCTGATAGAATTAGTGATGCCAAAAGCAAATAACATGTGGGAAAAAAATGGTATTTTATTTAAAACTATAAAATCCATGTGGCGTTTCCAAGTGTTAATACATCAACAAGGAATGCACAAAAATATAACAAGGGCGTTACATGTAACAATCATCAATAAGGGATGGTTGCGTTCCAAACAGTGACATAAGTATGCTCCTGCAATTGCGGGGGGGGGGGGCATCTTTTGTAGTTACGCCACTGACAAATACCATAACTTCTCAGCTAATACAAAACAGAATATATAATAGATCAAATATATACCAATTACTATGGTGCTGTAAAGTATACCCTGAGATTATAAAATCTGTATGTTTTCATAAGACTTGGCTGAAAGCCTGGTTTTAGCCTACCTTAAGATTTCATTGTTACACACCACGTGTGAGAATTTTTAACACAACTCCAATAAATCAATACAGCAGAAGACCTGTACGTATAGGACCAGTGTCTCAAGTGAAGATGAGCCCAGGGAACCTGCTCTCTACCCCCCCAGCTAAGAAAATTGCTAAGGAGGACCTCCTAGCTACATGGAACAAGGGCTATGGGGTTAATTAAAAGTCTGTAGACGAACTAAACTGACTAGCATATAATTATACATAAAAACTGCTCTTCATAGGGCAAGATTGAAATTGTGGCTTACCATCCACATTAAGGGTGGACCTGTGAGAGATGGGCGTGGCGAACTTTTTACCTTATCACGCAATTTCTGGTTGTCATCAAAAACTAATGGCAACATTTTCGTTTCCGATATGCAGTATATACCTAAAAAAAATCTTTTATTGGATAGTTTATTTTTTTTAAATTTGCTAAGAAGAGTAACCGAGTGTGTTAGGCACTGGTGTCCCCAGCTCCAGTTTCCAATTTAACCACTGTATCGAATCGCTCAGCGACCCTCGGTTTTTACCTATACGCTACTGTTTTCCCTAAAAAGGCACGTGGTCAGAGAGTTAATTCGTCACGTGTAATACCTAAACTAACATGTGACGATAGTAAATCAAATACTTGGTCTCCGAACTTTCCTTGAACTGCAGATTTATATCTGTATCAACTAAAGTTATACGTTTTATTGCGTTATATACGTTATATATATATAGTTACGTCTATTCATGATTCGTGGTTCAGTTAAATTCATTATTGAAAATAATAATTGGTATTCATATCATGCACATGCTTAGCACATCGCCAATATATTTGTTCTGTTTGTTAATAAGCACAAAGCTACACAATGGGCAATCTATACTCTGCCCACCGTGAGTATCGAAACCAAAGTTTTAGCCTAATAAGCCCTGAAACTTGCCGTTGAGTGCTAGCCAATAGAAACAGGCAAATCTACGTCAGTCTTTTTTTGTTGTTGTCCAAAGCAACACAAACAGCTTTCCGTACTCTGCTCATCGTGGGTATCTAAACCCGAGTTTTGGCGTTATAAGCTCCCAGATTGACCGCTGAACCAGCAGTAGAGATCGCCAGTAGAAGCAGACATATATGTCAGAATCGAATATGTCGTTACGAGCGTTAATACATGATAAACGTTTTTTTTTTTTAACCATGAAACATTTTTAAACTCGAGATGTGTGGAAGAGATAGTTATTTCTATCCTTGTACCAGAAAAATAATTGAACTATTTATTTTCACATTACACTCCATAAAACAAAAATTCTCTACTTGGAGTAATACTCCTCAATATTGAGACCGTATTTTTCGGTGTATAAGACGCACTTTTTTACCCCAAATTTTGATGTCAAAATCTGTTTGCGTCCTATACACCGAAGGTATGAATAATATATATGTATATATATATACGATATACACAAGCCATGTGTAAATATATTTAAATAGGCATGCATAGTTTACTTCAATTGAATGTGTTATTTATAACAATAGTAGTTTTTTGTTTCTTTTAAAAACATAACTATTTATAATTCTCCCCCAATAATAAAAAAACAAATTACAGTGAAAGCAATGAAGATTTTGAAGGTTTTGAACCAAACTAAATAACAGTAAACCTTTTTTTGATTTACGGTATTTTCTTATTTTGATGTTTTGAGCGCTTTTGTGTTTAAAACAATATATACTACTTTTTAAAGTATCAAATTGAATTTTTGTTCAATAAAAATCTTTCAAATGCGACTGTAGCTCCCCCCCCCCAAACTTTGTCTTCAAAATAAGGGTGCGTCTTATATTCCGAAAAATATGGCAGTTTTTTACGGGGGGAATGGAGGATGGGGGGGGGGGTGTTATACACAGATTTAACAATAGAATAATAACAACAACAAAAAAAAAAACGTTTCGAAGTCTATACTGTTTCGAGACTACTCGGAATTAGCTTTGAAAAAAAAAATCTGATTGAAACGTTATAACCCCCCAGTAGCACAGTAGTATGTCCGCGGACTTATAACGATAGAAACCGGGTTTCGATACCCGTGGTGGGCAGAGCACAGATAGCCCATTGTGTAGCTTTGTGCTTAACTACAAACAAAAAAATTATTCCTTTGTTTTTGTATAAATGGCATACTGTCGCATATACGCAGAATTTTTTTTTTTCGTTCGGCATTTCTTGATAAAAGCCATTGAGAAATTTACTAATGACGTGACAGTGAATTGTGTCGCGTGTTCGGGAAAAGATTATCGAGATAACGTGACTTTTGGAAAATGACTGCAATGCGCGCGCGTGTTTGTTGACGGTAGAAGTATTTTACTGCAGCTTTACCGTATCTTGGGGCCCCCTTACAAGACAATTCTTGGAACTATTTGGAAATATCCGGACACGTGATCTTAGCGTTTACATACAAATTACATGTTATACGAAACTAAGTAATCTTTTATAGGCAGGGAATTAATAATACACAAGATTATACTCAAAAACTTCATGTTATGTGCAGACATTGTTGAGGTTGATTATGTGTCTATAACATTTATAAAATTTGCCGAATGTTTTAATAAATTAAAAAAAAACATTTAAACATATGACTCAAATACTCCCCCTGGATCACGAACTTTAGTGTAACATTATAGTAATATTTGTTGAATATTTAGAAATCGGTTAGATGTCATAACAAACCGATGATATTTCAAATTTTGAAGTTACTTTACGTCATACCTGGCTAAGTTAAAATATGAAACAAAAAATTATAAAAAACTGATAAATCAGAAGCGTTCCTCAATTTGAAGACTTATAACGCAAAAAATCGGGTCTAGATACCCGCAGTAGGCAGAGCACAGGAAGCCAGGGACAGTTAGGAAGGGGTTTGCTTGGGCAAAAGCTACCCCAAAATGCCTACTGTTAAGGCTAGTTCAATTGCTAAATACTACAGTATATGTGTGTGTGTGCCCACAAGATGCAGAGTTCACCCCCTCACTTTATTGTCCAGCTAATCTCAGACCCCTCATTGAGAAGAAGTTGGTGTCTCCCCTGCAGATAACTCATTGTGGAGCTTTGTACTTAACGGTGTACATTCTTTATAGTGGGGCGTATGAGTATGTTTGTTTGTTTGTAATTACGCACAAAGCTACACAATGGGCTGTCTGTGCTTTGCCCACCACGGGTATCGAAACCCGGTTTCTAGCGTTGTAAGTCAGCAGACATACCGCTGTGCCACTGGGGGCCTAACTTTATATAAAAGAACTAATTGGACTTAGAAGGCGTGGGAAATTTTTTACCTTTAGCAAAGTACAGGATAACAATTTCACCTTAGCTAACAAAGCTGTTCATATTTCTATAGTTTTTACTTGTATTCACACCAGAATTAATTATCTAAGGGAGCTGAACTAAAGGGAATTATTAATGATCCTAAATCAAAGTTCACGTGTTCGGTTAATTTCAGTACTGTAAGAATACGGTATTTAAAAAAAAACACTTGAAAACAACGCACAAGCTAGTGTCACGTGTTTTACTTACACACACATAAGCTAGTGTCACGTTTTTTACTTTCACACACATAAGCTAGTGTCACTTTTTTTACTTTTACACACACAAGCTAGTGTCACGTTTTTACTCTTACACACACAAGCTAGTGTCACTTTGTTTACTTTCACACACATAAGCTAGTGTCACGTTTTTTACTTTTACACACACACTATTTAGTGTCACATTTTTGTACTTTAACACACACTAGTTAGTATCACATTTTTGTACTTTAACACACACACATAAGCTAGTGTCACTTTTTTACTTTAACACACACTAGTTAGTGTCACATGTTTGTACTTTAACACACACACAAGCTAGTGTCACTTTTTTACTTTAACACACACTAGTTAGTATCACATTTTTTTACTTTTACAATTCATCTTTACTTAGGTGTCTGTCACAGCGGATCTTATATAAGAGACTTCTAGAAGATTTGTGCTGTATGTATATTTACTCTGTCACAGCGGATCTTATATAAAAGACTTCTAGAAGATTTGTGCTGTATGTTTATTTACCATGTTTCTCTTTCCAAAGCCTCCGAAGACAATAACACCAAAAGACACACCATTCAAGTGTCGTCCTCTCCTAATCTACGACTAAGCCGGCTGTCGTCAGGTAAATGAAAAAAAAATATATATTATCAGACCGATTAAGTAAGATTTTTGATATTTACATATTTTTAACAGGATTTGGCCTTTTTTGTAAAATATTTAGTTGCTTATTTACCCAAAGTCTAACTGTATCAAATTACTGTAATTTCTTATTGTACGTATTTTTGAAAAAAATAGCCGTTTAAATAAAAAAAAACAACTTTTGTCGACTTTTCTTCCCAATCAAACCTGATTTGTTTTTATTAATTCTGAGAATGGTGAGCTGTATAGATACAGAAACGTCGTTCTAAATAACGAAAAGAAGACTTATTGATTGGTATAAAGTTTGATTAACTAACGAAAAAATGCGTAATATCTGAAAGAGACTTTTAAAAAATTCGCTGTTCTCCATAGTCTACTTGTAGTGAATTATAAACTTGGTATAACTGCCCTTGACTAGTTATTAACTACATGTATGTACAGTCAAACAGTGGTTAGTGCATTATTGCCCAATGTTTAACAGCATTCATTATACATAATCTAGTTGTATTAATAACTCTGTAATCTAGCAATATTTAATAACTTACTACCCGTGGTTAATGTTCTGTGCTGCAGACTGCAAGGTTCAAACCGAGATCCACACTTTCAACTGTGGTTTTTTGGGGGTTTTTTAATGAGTGAAACAGATGATACGTCCCTCTGTTCATTTAAGAGTAGCCGCATAGGCGAATGACGCTCCTGACTGTCTGTCCTCTCTCAAGTCAACAGTTCTAAACATGGAATAGCAGTGTCTAAATCTTAAGCGATCTCTGAGCTTTCTTCAACCCATGTATCACGTAAGATGTCGTCCAAGGTGTAGTTACTAACGTATTACCTATAATATGTATTTAGTAACTTATTACCTGTAATTTAGCTGTCTTTAGTAACTTATTACCATTTAGTCTAGCTGTACTTACTTATTGCCTGTGATCTAGCTGTGTGTTGTAATTTATTATCATGTAATCCAGCAGTGTTTAGTAACTTATTACATATATATATATAATATACCTGTATTTATTAACTTACTACACATTATCCAGGTGTATTTAGTAACTTGTTATCCGTTATTTAGCTGTATTTAGTAACTTACTACCAGTTATATAGCTGTATTTAGTAACTTACTACCAGTTATATAGCTGTATTCAGTAACTTACTACCAGTTATATAGCTGTATTCAGTAACTTACTACCAGTTATATAGCTGTCTTTAGTAACTTACTACCAGTTATATAGCTGTATTTAGTAACTTACTACCAGTTATATAGCTGTATTTAGTAACTTACTACCAGTTATATAGCTGTATTTAGTAACTTACTACCAGTTATATAGCTGTACTTAGTAACTTACTACCAGTTATATAGCTGTATTTAGTAACTTACTACCAGTTATATAGCTGTATTTAGTAACTTACTACCAGTTATATAGCTGTATTTAGTAACAGTAGTTTATTACCCATGTTTCAAAACAATATTTAAAACTATAAAAAAATATATTGTTCATTTTCCTAACACTCCATCAATACAGTTCTTACAGTGCTTGGTGCAACTGAGACAATATGAAGCACCTTTGATCTGTTACGAGGTGATAATGAAATATATGTTCTTAAAGTATTTGATAAGATTTTACAATAACGACATATTTTATTCTTTCTTTTTTTTTATCGGAATTAATTTTGTGTTTAAGCCTAGTTTCTTAGTCAGAAGATATTTATTATAATTTCTGTATTTAACCTTATCGGTTTGTTAAGCACATTTTTCTAAATCATTTAAGCACCAAATTCTAGTTTCATACATTTGTTGATTAGTAGTAAAAAATAAATAGAAATACTATCAGTATTGCCCTTTAATCCCACTAAGTTTTTAGGTTATACCTCCTATGCATTTGACATAGAAAATATATTATTTCCCACAATATATATATTGGCGAGTTCAGTGTTGTAAGAAGACAGAAACATAAAATTGCCTAAGGTGATGTATCAACTAGGACACATCGGTAGTGAACGTCACGAAGACAAATCGGTAATTAGAGGGATAACACGTAGAATTTAACGTAATTATACGAAGATAAACACAATAGACCTAATTGCAAACAGGGAAAACGTGAAATACGCTAGATCATATTTTGTTGACAAATAACGTACACGTTTCACAGACTTTGCTTCATCACTTTAGTGCCAGGAAAAGATCAATTTACAGACGTACTGGATATCTCCCCCCCCCCCCCAAAATTCCCTCTACAAGGCAAACATCCTATAGGTCAGTTAATGACGTTCATTGGGTACGATTACATTACGCAGATGCTTAAACCAATCACGTGATCTTTATACGTATGTATACTTTAGATATAGTTCACGATCATACATTTATGTAGTTCCTATATATTTACGCCTGATTAATGACTTCTTTCCCATACCAAACGCAATCAGAACAACAGTGAGAAAAACTGTGATCTTCATCGTCGATGGTAACGATAAGAGCACTTGGTAATTGGCTTGTGTGCATATAAATTAAAAGTTACAACTTTACTGACTCGAGGATCAGGTTCATGTTGTCTGATAAGTTGGAAGATGTGGTTTTACAAGTCTAGAAATGTGAACATACTTACATGGTTCGTAATGACCGATTATGGAATTTTAATGCAACCAGAGGACAATGTTAATTTGATATACACTTTCAAGGACACGCGTATATAATTTCAACCCTATCTCGAGGACTTGATGTATGTAACACACCCTTACAGGGGCAATGTATGTATGAAATCGCAACGTTATCAAAGACTAAATTAAGATGAACACAATGACATATGTTTGTTTGTATGTTTGGTTTTTTTTTAATTTCGCGCAAGGCTACACGAGGGCTATCTGCGCTAGCCGTCCCTAATTTAGAAGTGAAAGACTAGAGGGAAGTCAGCTAGTCGTCACCACCCACCGCCAACTCTTGGGCTACTATTTTACCAATGAATATTGGGATTGACCGTCACAATATAACGCCCCCAAGGCTGAAGGGGCGAGCATGTTTGGGGGAACGGGGATTCGAAACCGTAACCCTCAGATTGCGAATCGAGCGCCGTAACCACGTGGCCATGCCGGGCTCAGTGACATATGTATAGAATTTCAACTTTACTCGAGGGCTAGACGAATATAACACACTCTTACAGGGGCATATATATGTAGAATCTCAAAGTTATGTCGAACACTAGAGATGTAATACACAAAAAGATACATGTATGGAATTTCAACCTCGAGGCCTAGACGAATGTAACACACTCTTACGATGGAATTTCAGCGATAATTTGAGAATTGGATTTAAGTTATCTACGCTTGCAGAATCCCGTGTATGTACGTTCAACATCAATATAAAGAGCCAAATTTACGTAAGCCACTGTTGGGCGAACTGCTATATAATATTTGACTGTCGGTTTGAAAATGAAGTTAGGTTCTAGTGTAATGCTCGATCAGTGCTTTTTGTGTGGAGTCCAAAAGGCTGATACACGATTACTGTTAACGCGAGAAATACTTCGCTTTAAGTGTCTTGTAACTGGTTCACAGTGGTGAATCGCTCTGCTTCGAGACGCGTGAGCAAATTATTAGAGTCTACATGTTCTTAGTTATTACCAGTTCCATCTTTATCCTTCTAACTACTACGATGGAAAAAGGTTGATAAGTATAGAGAAGTTTTTTATTTCATACTTATCATAACATTAAGAAATACGGAAGGTTGGTTTTTAGAAGAGCCACATACACATGTTAACTCAGTACCGTGGCGCCATGGGCGACATATTCGAACCTATATTTTTGGTTAATTAACAGCGAGTTCATGACCGTTCGAGAGTGCAGTGCTGCCATTTTGTATAGTTGGAGTACGTGAGAAGCTTTTCCGAAGAGAATAATCATACACTGAGATTATCAAACAGTGTAGCGTCAACGAACACAACATTTCGAAGAAGGAGGTCTTTAATGTCCCCCATGGAAGCAGAAAAAACCCCTGAGTATTTAGGATAGCAATGGGCTCAGAAACCATATCCCAATCAGGATCAATCCCCTCACCTTCAAAATAAAGCCAATATTTACAAAAGAAAAGCCACCGATCCAAAAACTCCTAACGACGAAATTTGGTACCACTAACAAGACAATAAAGGAAGGGCTGATACTGACGAAAGTTTACAAACTAAACGTTAACAAGCTTCCAAGTCAAAAGCTGTTTTCATGACAAAGATGGTCGATACAGAAACTGGAATCACAGCAACCTCATTGGACAAAATACCTATCAAGTCCTCCGATGCAGTTTTAACGGACTTTTATATCTTTGGTTTAATAAAAACGTAGCCTTGTAACCCGTCTCCTACATACAGTAGGAGGTCTAAGGAAATGTTATCATCTTTCTTCGCAGAAGCTTATTACAATGGAAACTGTGGGTGTCGTAAATTGTGGTAATCATGGTCACGATAATAAGCACGACCGCCATTGGAGGAAGTGGTTCCCAGGGCAGCAAAAGACCTAATATATCATTCTCATGAAGTAAGATTAACCCTCTGGAGTAGAATATAATGTAAATAAACTATTATACTATATAAATACTATGAAATGTAGTCAATATTTACTGCAATTACTTTAAATCAGAGGTTCTCAAATTTTTTTGCTAATGGACCACCTACTTGTTTTTTCTTTTATCTTGCGGACCCCAGTGAAATCTATATACTATATTGCCGTTTCCTTTCAGCAATTATGCAACAATTCTACGGACCACCTGAAGGGAGCAGTGGACCGTCTGTTGTCCACGAAATACAGATTGAGAATATCTGCCTAATTTGATTTATTGGGACGACCTTTAAAAAGAGAAAAGAAAATGTCAATAAAAAGACATAATTTCTTTCATTTTCGTTATTTTAATTAGATTGATTGTTTGTAATTAAGCCCAAAGCTACACAATGGGCTATCTGTGCTCTGCTCACCACGGGTATCGAAACCCGAATTCTAGTGTTGTAAGTC